TACAAATACTATATCCACATTCAGTTCAACCTGAACAAAGTGCTTTGGGTAAATAAGAATTCTACTGTACATAATTTCCAATCATACAAAATCATGCAACTTATGTTCCACTGACTTTCCTTGCTAAATTTGCACATCAGCTTGACGAGATTGGGAATTCGAGCTACACTGAGCTGCTATTTTGAGTTTCTGTTGTGCATTCAAGTTTTCTGAATTTGTAGAGTAGAATGGCATGGCCCCTATCTATTTGTTTCCTAACAAATATAAGAAAGAATGGTTGTTTTTCCCTTCCAAAAATATTGTATTAACTCTACTTAATGCCTCTTTTTACAAGTCTTTCTTAAGGAAAGTATAAAGCTATGGGGGGGGGTATTTTCCTTAGGCCTGTTGAGTTTGTTGGCTGATTCTTCTTCTTCTTCATGGCTATGGAACGACTGCATGCTATTTGCTTTCACAAAGCCTATTTAATTCAAGGACACCCCATGTCTTTAACAGACATAAGCTATGGAAGTTCTGTTCTACTCTGATCAAAGTAAGGAAATGGATGAAGCTATTAAAACTAGCCTAAGAACTTCCATCTGTTTGACTTGTACAGCCAAAAGAAGGCTTTTAGCTGGTTTTGTTATTTTTTTTACCTTTTGCCAAGAGAGAGAGAAAAGCTTCTTTACAGTGCATTTGCTTTCTTGAAATAACAGGTGTTATCATCCAGGTTTTTTGGAGGAGAATTTTTAATAGGCTAGGAATGATACGTCTGTTATTAAAAGCATATTGGATAGCAATTAAAATTCTTCATGGGTGCCATTCATAATTAGGCTTCCAGGATTTTAGAAGAACACAGTTTAACACAAATATGTTTGCAACTTCTCATTTCTTTACAAGGAAATTCTGTTTAATTATTAATATTGAAAAGCAGCAAACTTACTTCACTTACAGGTAAATAGCTTAATTCTGACCTTTGATTTACTAATTCAACCCAAATGTACCTGGTTACAGAATGTTACAGCATCAATAAATACATCAAATATAAACAGTACATCTTCCTAGTGAAAATAATAAAGGTATTATATTATTGCACCAGGTTTATGACTATACACATCTACCCAATACAATCTATAAACCAAACAAAATGAAGAAATGCTTGGGATGCTGTTTGGTGGATGGTATTTATATTAAGCGAGATGAACTTTAAATAAAATAGAGGGACTAATTCAGTTGAAATCTATTCAGAAGTAAGGATGAATAAAACCTATCTATAGAGGAAATGCTCTCTGTCTTTTCTGGTAAGCTGTAAGTCATTGGCATGATTATTATTAAAAAAAAACCTAGCATGATTTCATTGTCATATTTTAATGGAAAGTATTCCATATTGAACTGGTTCAGCAGCAGACTACAGAAAAAAAAAATGATAATGGAGGTCAATTTATCTCCCTCAAATTGAATTCAGGTTTGATGATATCACAAGCCCATCCATGGAGTTTTCTCGGTTGCAATTTCCAAGTTATCTGTCATTGCTTTATGTCAGAATGTTTGTAAAACTTCTCAGCTGAAATTATAGGTAGTCCTCAACAGTGGTGGGTTTCAAAAATTTTTGGAACCTCTTCTGTAGGTGTGGCCTGCTTTCTGGGTCCACTGGTGGAACCTCTTCTAACCGGTTCGGTAGATTTGACGAACCGGTTCTACTGAACTGGTGCGAACTGGTAGGAACCCACCTCTGGTCCGCAATTTACAAACCACAATTGAGGCCAAATTTCTGTGGCTAAATGAGACAATTGTTAAGTGAGTTTTGTCCCATTTTACAAACTTCCTTGCCACAGTTGTTAAGTGAATCACTGCAGTTGTCTATGGAGATTGTCAGTCATTCTGTCCCTAAGGTGCTTTTTCAAGAGGCAACTGGACTTTCTGGTTTTTCTTTAAAGACGTTTCAATTCTCATCCAAGAAGCTTCTTCAGCTCTTCAGCGAAGCTTCTTGGATGAGAAGCGAAATGTCTTCAAAGAAAAACCAGAAAGTCCAGTTGCCTCTTGAAAAAAGCACTTTTGGGACAATCACTGCAGTTGTTAAGTTAGAAACATAATTTTTAAGTGCACCTGGCTTGAATTTGCTTGTCAGAAGATGATTGTGTGACCCTGGAACCATCATAAAAATGTGTCAGTTGCCAAATGTCTGGATTTTGATCATGTAACCATGGTGTGATAAGTGTGAAAAATGGTCACAAGTCTCTTTTTTCAGCACTATTGTAACTTTGAGTGGTCACCAAATGAACTGTTGTAAGTTGAGGACTACCTCCATTGTGAGGATTGAGAGTGTGAATCCCTTCATGCCATAAATATGGAGCAATTTGCTGAGTGTCAGGCTAGAAATTGCAGCTACTGCAGCTTTAAGACATTCGTCCATATCAATATTCATTTTTAGAAAAGGTGAGAAAAAGAAGCAATAGATGTAAATCACCAGGGATGTAACAGTCATCTGCACTTTCTCACTCACACTGAGCAATCACTTGTTTCAAGGAGCTTCACACTTGTCTGCAATACAGATTCCTTTCTGTCCAAGCCAAGCCATTTAAGAGGAACTGAACTCCTTCAACTTCTTGGAGAACTGTGACTTAATCCTCAGTCTTTATTAGGAAACTCTCACAAAAGACATACTGGGAGCCTCCAGTGGTGGTATCCTACCAGCTTAACAACCGGTTTGGTGATAACTTGCTTTGAGAGCATGCACAATTTTGAGAAAACTTACCTTCCGCTAGGGAAGAAAACAGCTGATGCATGGCAATCCGCTCTGCTACACGACTCAATTGAGAAGATAAAGGTCAGTAAAGCACAGGTGAGGGCTGGCCCACTTGATCATTGGAGTGAACCAGTTTGCTCACAGCTGATCGTCGGAGCTACCGGTTCACTCAAACCAGTAGAATACCACCCCAGGAATTTCCTATCAGTTGTCACAACTGGTTCAGTTAGAAAAGAAAGACTTTCATGGTTAGCCAAAAGTAAACTTGTCGGCCACCAGCCCCTCCAGCAGCCGAATCAGAGGTGGAGGAGGTGTGGGAGTCAGGGCCAGCTCAAGGCAACCTGAGAGCTCTGAGGGTGAAGAGAGAGAGAGAGAGAGAGAGAGAGAGAGAGAGAGAGAGAAGAGAAGAGAAGAGAAGAGAAGAGAAGAGAAGAGAAAGGAGGAGCTTGGGCCATCCATCAGCCCTCAGATGGAGAGTCAACAGCCCCTAGGTCTGGAGGTGGCTGATGAGGAAGAGGAGAACAGCTGGGTCCAGTGCCTGACACACAAATGCACAGAAGGAGGAGAAGAGGAGAGCAGTGGAAATCCATGGGCTAATCCTTGGGAAGGAAGAGCCACCGCTGCTAGCAAGGCCCCTAACTCTGGGGATAAAAGGCAGCAGGCGGAGGTCAATAGATGTGGCAGAGAACTATTCATCTTCTGGCCCAGCCAAACTTGTTAGCCTGCATTGAGAGAGAAACTTTTTGCTGGGGCTGCCGGTGCTCCTAATAAAGGAATCTTTGGAGTTCATTTCAGAGGGTTTGTCTTGGGGAGCTAGGTCAGAACAATACTTTACTAAAGCCAAGTGGTTACAGAGGAAGCAAAGCTGGATCTGAGGTTTTTGTGCCCAAAGCATATGGTTAACTTTTCTCTTGTTCCTGACTCCTCCCCCCTCCCCCCGGTTGTCAGTGAGAGTCCAATTAGGTGCTAACATATTGTTTGGGTAACATTCCCTGTTTTCGTGAGCTGCATAGTTCTTCATTCCACTGCATGGAACGGCTGACAGCTCTCACGAGATGCTCTGATGCTTAGTTTTGATTCTTTCATCCTACCGCTCCCCTTTTCCCACCCCACAACTCCCCTTCCCGTCAAGTATGGCAGACTGGCATCAGGCAGTGCATAGCGTAACAGGATGACAGTCCTGACACTCCTATTCAATTACTAACCAGGTCTAAGCCTGCTCAGCTTTTTTAAGATTAGCTAACATTGACTAGGTATGTCATTTTCTTGACATACTTCTTGAACTTGGATTATTTTCAAAGGGGATTGGATATATTCACAGAATGTAACTATGGAAGCCAGAGCAATGGCTAGCAAACATAATGAATATAAATTATATGCAGATTTGGAATGAGTATGCTGAGGAACACAAATGAAGAGCACTAATCTAATTGGTCTGGCTTCCCCAGGAAAGTGATGGGGCAGTGTGGAAAAAAAACCATGCACACAAAATTATAATAGGCAAGAGAGAATTTTATTTTACTAAGAGCATAACTAGTAGGTTTTACCTGCATGTACATCTTTCATAAATATTAAACATAATCTATTGGTAGACATGAGAATGGCTGGGTGACTTATTAAAAAAAATGGGGTTGCATTCTGAAATCACAACACACATTTTACCAAGGTTTTTTTTTGAAAGGGGGCGAGTGTCATATGTCATTATTTATCCAAATGGCCCTTCCTCCAATGTACAGTAAAAATAAACGCCAATATGGTGTTAAAAATAAATGCATAATACTAATGTTGCAAGCTAATGCATTCAGAGACATTCCCTTAATGCTTTATATATGGAGCAGTTTGCTGACATAAGGAAGGCTGGTATTTATTATCTGTATATTACAAAGCTTTTTCCCCTTTGTCTATTGCAACCTTAGATTTATTTTATTTTGTTTGGAAAAGATTGCAATTTTCATTGCTAAAAGATTCATTGTCCCTGTCTGGATTAAAATAGTATCTGCCATAAGAATAAGTCATATCTTTTCTCTGTTGAATGATAACTACATCATTACTCATCAGTTAAATAAAGCTTGCTGTGAAGAAAGGTATTTAGCATAGGATCAAAATCAACCTACAAACTTTATGATTTGGAAGAAAGGTGAGAAAATCAGCACTGATTTGCATTTCAAATTGATAGGAGGCGGCATATGTATTAGTTTATTATAATACAGGTGTTTGGAAGCTGAGCATGTCAGCAAGGTTTTAAGTTGAGTGACTTTTCTCTCCTCTTCTTTAGGTAATCAGCTCAGATACTGGATCTACAGTTATCTTCTGGTTGATTGACACTGGGCAGAAAATCAAAGAGTTTACTGGTTGTCATGGCAATGCAGAGATCAGCACTATGGCTCTTGACGGGACTGAGACCCGGCTTTTCACCGGGGGCACAGATGGAGCAGTCAAGGTACACACTATATGTATTTTTAAAAAAGGGACGAAATGAAATGGGCTGAACCATTTCATATTTTCAGAGGTGTAGTTTGAGCATCTACCAATAAGAAATTTCATTAGTGGACCTTGAAGAGTTGGGAATGACTAGCACATATGTGCAAGGGGAACTTTTGCCTTTACCTTTATGATTTCTTGAAGAAGTGAAAGTTCATTGAGCTCACTCATGTTGTGTTTCAAGTCATAATATACAAACTACAATAAACAGATCCATGTAGTCTGCTACTCCGCAACTGAACTGGCCTACTCATAATTTAGCACAATGAATGAATCCCATCATCTGCAGCTTCAGTTCCATTATTTAAAATTTTATTTTATTGACCCCCTAGGGACATTGGGCATAGAAATAACAAATAATAGCACCTCTCTTCGGGCCTCTGCTTTTCTTATCTCTGATTAAAAGATTTTAAATACTCTCCTTTACATATAGAATACTTGTTTCCTTCTTACTTTCCTCCCCCCATTACAGGGACAAGTATGAAAGTCATTATTTATGTATTTATATATAATAAATGATAACATATTCTTTTGGACATTAAGATCACGACTTAGATACTACCTATATTTCCCTGAAAATAGGACCGGGTCTTATATATATTTTTGGGCTTCAAAATAAGCACTTGGGCTTATTTTTGAGGATGTCTTATTTTTTCGTATGTACAGGGAAACAACTTCTGCTTGCTCATAGCTGCAATGGGGCAGGAGGCCACATAGCACCCCAGTGCTGCCACCATGAGACAGGAGGGGTGTAGCTGCCCCATTCTACCCACACAGGCTTATTTCAGGGCCGCCGTAGCCACACCATCCACACCCTGACACCTGCCCATTTCACGGTGGTGACTCTGGCAGCCCCATCCAGCAGGACCCTGCATGGCCATTGGCCCACTTCTGCATGCCTGTGGCTACAAGGGAACAGGCAGAGAGTCAGTGGGACAGAGTGAGAGGGCAGCCATGGGAGGATTCTCTTTGCACCTCTTGGTTTTCCCGCAACCTATGTGGTGCATTAGGATCACCTGCCTTTTTCCCTGCACCTCTGCCTCTGTCTGCTGCTTGGCATATAATCAACTCACTTGCACTGCACAGGCTTCAGCTGCTGCTAGACAATGTTGGCCCCTGTGCCCTCACTGTCTCTGNAAGGCTATGGTTTTCCCAATTGCAATGTATGGCTATGAAAGTTGGACCGTGAGAAAGGCTGAGTGCCAAAGAATTGAGGCCTTTGAACTATGGTGCCGGAGAAGACTCCTGCGAGTCCCTCGGGCTGCAAGACGATCAAACCAGTCACTCCTAGAGGAGATCAACCCGGGCTGCTCTCTAGAAGGCCAGATCCTATAATGAAACTCAAATACTTTGGCTACAAGGAGAAGGAAGGACTCACTAGAGAAGAGCCTAATGCTGGAAAAGATTGAGGGCAAAAGAAGAAGGACGACAGAGAATGAGGTGGCTGGATGGAGTCACCGAAGCAGTAGGCATGAGTTTAAATGGACCCTGGGGGATGGTAGAGGACAAGAAGGCCTGGAGGAATGTTTTCCATGGGGTCGTGATGGGTTGGGCATGACTTTGCAACTAACAACAACAATGCAAAAAAAAATGTAAAGGTTCACTGAAATTGGGATTAACTCTTGTTGATTGCATCACTGTAGTTTTATTGGCCGTGTTACAGAAGTGGGTTGCCTTGCTTCTTCTAGAATGTTGCTTCCTCTCAATTTAGCCATTAGTCCTGGAGTTCCAAGATGGTCACCCATTCAAGCACTAGGTACCTCTGATCTTGTTTTCTTTTTCTAGATCAAACAAGGTATGCTAAATCAAGGCCTCATCACACAAAATACTTCAATTGGCCCAATGTAATTAGGGCATAAACCTCACAAAGCATATAATTCTTATGAGTTAATACACATTTGGATTGCATATCCCACAGAGAAAAAACACTTAATTCCAATGGAATGTGCAACAGGATTGTGTCTATTTCCTCAGAATGAGTATTGGTGCTCTATGAATCTTATACAGGACTGCAATGCCAGCTACTTTTACAGAGTTGACTTAAGAGTATTAAACATCAATTCCTTTGCATCCAATAGAACCTGATGGTTAGATTAAAGGTAAAAGTTTTCCTGTCCAGTTGTATCCAACTCTAGGGAATGTTGCTCATCTCCATTTCCTGATCAGTACCAGTGTGTCTGAAGACATTTCCTTGGTCATGTGACCAACATGCCTCTATGCCAAAGGTGCATGGGATGCTTGGTCTTCCCACTGTAGTGGTACCTATTTATTTACCTGCATTTTCATTCTTTTGAACTGCTAGGTAGGCAGGAACTGGGTCAATGAATGGGAAGTAAACCCTTTGCTCAGTGCTTGGGTCTTGAACCTAGGCTACCAGCTTTCCAGCTGACATGTTCACGTTTGGTTTGGTTTATTGGATTTATGTGCCACCCTTCTCCCAAGGACTCAGGGTGGCGTACAACATTAAAAAAAAAACATATTACAAAAGTTAAAAAAAAAATTAGAATATCCAAAAAACAAACCCAATTAACAATAACATTAAAAAAATCAATTAAAATTAATAATAATTAATAATTTGTTTTGTTTTGTTCAGGCCAGGCTGGCTTGCTGGAAAAGCCAACTTTTTAGGGCGCGTCGGAAGGACCGGAGA